TGGTGTGTGGGTATAAAATTACAAAAGAAAATGTTTTTATCCTTTGATATTTTTGGATATTTTGAAGAATAATGTCATTTTTCGATGTTTCTTTTTTTAAATGTCAATTTTGACAGGTTAAGGAAATCACGTGACCTATTTTGTAGACGCCATTTGACATCATTTCTTAAGCAAAATCTACTGCCAAAATCAAATTTCACATAAAACGATAAATAAAAACGTTTCCCATTTGATGCGGACTTTATCGGTGACACTGTATAATTCGATCGGCAAAATGCAAGGTATTTTTACCATTTTTACCAGTTATAACCGCTAAAATCTGCGATTCGAATTTACCGCCTAGGCCAAAATCATTCTGATTGGCTTCTGAATTCTTGCCTTTGAGATTGGAACAGTACGACTTGGCGGTAACATTCAAATCCTAAACGCCATAATGATTGCGTTAGCCCAGTAGGGTGCAGGAACATAATAATCTACACTTTTAATTTTGATGTTATATTCTCGATGCTCAAAATTGCACGTATCTCAACTAGACTCGGGGCTTTTTCAATAGCTAGAGTTTCAAACCACTTCATATATATGTTGACTATAACTGGTGCAAGTAGCGATTCCATTGGCAGTCCCTCTTCTTGCGTAAAGAATTCGCCTTTCAGTTGGGAACAGCAGTTAACTTTTTTTAACGCCTTCAATTTTATTTGTAATTGTTCGATTTTTAATTATTTTGCTTATTCATTGTGATTTTATTTCTCGTTTTTGTTGCCCAATATAACTGATACTTTCAGCTATCCATTTTAATTTTATTTGGTCTTCTAGTCTTCATATTCAAATCAAACAAACATTTTCAATATTGTTCATCAGTCAAACAGTTTTGAAACTGCATAGTTGAAAACAGTTTTTTATTTGACTTCATAAACAACTATTTTCTGAAATGATTTTTATTGTAAAATACAAGTTTTGGAATGAAAATATTTCTATATAAAACGATATCAATTTAACTCCCTAAAAACAATAAATATTCAAATCATATATGATGTGGGATACCATGGACATCACAATTTGCGGACTTGACCAAAATACAGTGTAGATTTTTTAAGTAAATATAAGTATAAAGTATCATTGTAAGGCGTTACGATATATTAATGACAATACATTCAAGGCATATGCTCAATATGAAGGTACAAGGTGAATCACAAAATGGATTACGCTTAAATATGTATTTTTTTTTGTAAAACAACACACGTCGTTGTGTTTTTGCTGATTGGACGCTGGAGCAATTAGAAACTGATCCTCCCATTCAGGGGAGGAGATAAAGGTGGTACGGTTGAAACCATAATCTAAGTACATTGTTTTCCCAATCAAAAATACATCTATTTTAATATTTATTTTACATACTATCCCCTGAATAGTCAAACATTTCTTCCAAAATATCTAGAGAAACCAGTAAATCAATCTGATTTCTAACATCTACTGGATATTCCATAATACTGCCAACATGGACAAAAAGCCTATACAAATTTTCAGACTTTCGCCGCCATTTCTTGTACACTCGGCGGGCTTTTCCCCCTTGATATATTGGCATAGAGCTTTGACAAAGTTGGTTTGGGCTAAGTCGGAATCTGCTTGTTTGTACTGGTTGTTGAAAACTATAGTCGGTACTGATTTCAACGGATTTTGAACTTGATCCGTGAGCTTTCCGAACATGGCTAGATAATTTGAAGCTGAAACAGAAAAAAAAAGAATTATGCACGTTCACGTTACAAATGAATAGTATCACTATTCATATCACTAAACTATTTTACCATAAGGTTCAATGAGAAGTTTGAGTCCTAAAGATTGAACCATCACCCTAGATCAGGGGTCTCCAAACTTTGAAGCCTTCGGGCCATAATGATTTTTTCAGTTTGTTCCAAGGGCCAATTTCTGCCCTTAAGTGCCTCCGAACCGGATATAATTA